GTCAACATCCCTAACTGTACCGGTACAATAAATCAACTTAAATTACATCCCTGACTTTCAAGATTAACATCCCTGACTGTACATGTCAACATCCCTAACTGTAACAGTACAACAGTTTAACTTAAATTTACATCCCTGACTGTACCGGTCAACATCCCTAACTGTACCGGTACAATAAATCAACTTAAATTACGTCCCTGACTTTCAAGATTAACATCCCTGACTGTACATGTCAACATCCCTAACTGTAACAGTACAACAGTATAACTTAAATTTACATCCCTGACTGTACATGTCCACATCCCTAACTGTACCGGTACAATAATACAACTTAAATTACATCCCTGACTGTACCGGTACAATAATACAACTTAAATTTATATCCCTGACTGTACATGTTAACATCCTTAACTGTACCGGTACAATATTATAACTTAAATTTACATCCCGGACTGTAAAGATCATCATCCCTAGCTGAAACAGTAAAATAATACAACTTACAAGATACAAGGTACAAGAAATTTTATTTAAAGTCGTATATATGAAAACAGAAACATTAACTCTGAAAAGCTATTAATTATTACCACAAAAAATATCACAGTAAGGTATCAAAGATATAAAACTACTATTGTTAAGTATGAACATAGATAAGAGGAGGCACAAATATCATGCAAAACTGTTGGGTGACTTAAAGCACATGGCTATATACATATATATGCGAATCTAGCAAAGTGGAAAATTTACCGAAAAAGCACTTATATAGTACCACGGACTTAGATAGTACAATCTAATTATATATATAAAATACAAACATACTTAAATTTACGTCCCTGCCTGTACATGTCAACATCCCTAACTGCAACAGTACAATAATTTAACTTAAATTTACATCCCTTAATTATTGTTTCAGTACAATAAAACAATTTACATCCCTGACTGTACATGGTGGTTATATCGTTTCATAATTTTTAAGCAAAGCGAACGCGCCGCAGCACAGTTAAGTTTTTCCGGACAGGCAAGTACCCGTACATGCGCATGCGCGGATGTATGCCGACACTGACAAACCCTACTCGATTTTAAGGTAGGCCGATGCATACCATTTTTAATATGCTTCAATATTTGCAATTGCATTGTTAAAAGTGTTGTAACTGATAATGCAAACACATCGTCATGTACATCTTCTTAATCTATCACATATATTTAATAGGACAGTTACTTCACACTAAAAGCTTTGACTCAAACTGATTAACACAATGTTTATTTATAGCAAACCGAAAGTACAGTTGGGAGCAAACCTGGCTAATGCACTGGAGTTAACAAGAAAAAATGAACTCCAGTTCACTAGCTTGTGCACTGGAGTAAACACTCAAGTGAACTTGAGTTGAAATCGATTATCAATAAGTAAATGAAATAGAATCAAGACAACTTAAAAAGCTTACAACGATGTATATTACAGCGAAAGAATGTGCATTCGAGTTCACATAATTATGTGTACTGGAGTTAACTACAGTTCAAAAGAGTAATTTCTGTATCATATTATGTCTGGCCTTTTCATCAGTTTATTCATACTATGATTTTCTCACCTCCCATCTGCTTGATAAATCAATTAATCTATATAATATTCGTTAGATGCTACCTATTCACATATGGTTCCGGGTTGTTTCGCCCCAAATCCCGTTCGCCCTAGGTTGTTTCGCGTCAGGTTGTTTCGCCCTAAAACATTTTTTTTAGGGCGAAACATTGTTTGGTATTTTCTTTTCATTTTTATTTGTTTTAAGTCACAAATTAAGTCTTCTTAGTCTTTCATATCATTAAAACCAGTTTTATTTTTAAAAAAAAATGTGTTTGTGTTGTTTTAAGTACATTGTAAAGCAAAAAACGGATTACGTTATTTCTTTACGCCGACACTTATTATAACATATATTGAATTTAATTTTAGAAATAAGTAAGAATAGTGAAATGAAACAAAAATGGTGTAATTTTAAAAATTGCGGGGTATACAACAATATTATTTTCCATGTTAACACATTTAAATTAGTTTAGTGTACGGCTGTACGCATACTCGTCGCCGTGTGACGATGTTTTCTTTACTTGATTTCTGCACACGTCCGTGTTGTTTTTTGCTAATTGGAGATTATGTCCATTTTGAGAAGTTTTGATAGTACCACGGAATTAGATTTAAGTCCGTGATAGTACCGACCAATAAAAATTAATATGCATATTTGAGTAGATAATTTTGAGTAGGTAACTTGTCATAAATAGAGCATTT